GAAGGTGCTGAGACCACAAAGCTCATGTCCAGGAGCTTTTCCCAGCTCCTTAGGGTTTAGTCTCAGGGAGCACAGATGCCATAATTACCTGAGGGTGACTCTTCAGCTCAGCCCCAGTTCCCCACCCTCCACACTGACAGCAGGGCCCCTCCCCTCCTGTCCTCTCCCTCACTGTGTACTCTGCCCTCATGAGAAACCTTATGAGGGCAGAGGGTTCGCCACAGGGTTCCAGCCTAGTCTGTGATGGTGTTCGCATGTGTTGACTCATTTGGTGAAAAAACACACAAATATATTGATCAGAGAGCAAGAGAGAGAAGAATAGGGAGAGGGAAACACCTATTTTTTGTTCCACTAATTTTATACATTGTTTGATTCTTTTTTTAATATAAGCTTTATTTTAAATTTAAAGAAAAACTGAAAATGAGTATTTTTTACAAATTATACCAATATTGAAAACGTAATTTGGGAATGTTGAACATTAGTTCTCAATTCAAAATAATGACATGTCTTGGTGTTGGCTAATGTAAAGTTTCTTTAAACCTAGTACTTTATATAAGTTTAACCATTTCATCCTTCCTGAAATTCAGTGATTATGATTCAACTTTAGAAGGTTAAAGCAGTCTTCTATGTAAAACCCCATATACCTTTTTGAAATACAATATATTTACACCAGCGAGGAAATGATAAAAACCTGTAAACACCACATGGGACTTGCCGAAAAGGCTGCCTACCTACAGAGGGAGCATTTCGCCTCAGCACACACACGTGATCGAACAGACTCCCTCACGTTCTCTTACACAGCCACCTGCGTGGTTATGCCGCTCTAGCATGTATGAACTGAAAATAACATGTTTTAAAAGGTCCTTGAAGACACAGGGGAGTGGAATGAGCCTGCGCTGAGAGCAGCACCACACAGGCTGTTAGGAGGATGTGGCCGAGCTGGCTCCGCCCCTGGGGAAGCAGGCCCCGCCCCCAGAAAGCTGGAGGAGGCGAGCCCAGAAAGACTGATGGTCTTGTTGATGATCTCCACGGCCTCCTGGACCTCGTCCTCCTTGATGACCAGCGGAGGTGGAACCTGATGATGTCGCCGTGGGTGGGCTTGGCCAGAAGTCTATTATCTCCAAGGCGCAGGCGCACCTTCCAAGCATCGGAATCTTTGGTTTCCCGGGTGACGATGGCGTTCAGCAGACCCTTCCCACGCACTGTGGTCACGATGTCCGAGGGCAGCTTCCTGAGCTCTTTCTCTTCTTCCAAAACCTCGCAGGCGGCAATGGGCAATGGTTCCGCGGCTGCCCAGAGGGTTGCCCCTGTACGTGGAGCCGCGCTCCCGGGCTGGACGGTCAGCATGATCTCGTCGTCACACAGCACCACCCACACGGGGTACAGGCCACCGGAAAGGACCGTGCCCAGGAGGACGAGGTCAGGCCTGACGTTTGCATGGCTGACCGCCAGCCATCGACCAGTCCTGGCCAGTCCCGTCTGGGTCTCATCCAATAAACAGGATCTGGTGCGGGGCGCAGAGCTCGCGCACACCCATCAGGCAGCCTGGGTCGGGACAATGATGCCTGCCTCGCCCTGAATGGGTTTGAACATGAACACACCATCGTTTGGATCCTGAAGAACACTCTCGAGAGCAAGCAAGTCGTTGTAGGGAATGATCTCGAACCCTGGCCTGAAGGGGCCAAAGCTATCATCGCAGCTGTGGTCCGTGGAGCTGGAGATGGCACACAGTCCTGCCCCAAGTTTCCAGCTGCGAAGACGATCTTGGCTTTGTCCTTGGGGATGCCCTTCACGGTGCAGCCCCCCGCTGCACTAGCTTGCAAGCGGTCTCCCCGGCCTCCACCCTGTGCTCATGGGGAGAACCTGGTGGTAGTTGAAGAGCTTCGTGACGTTCTCCTCGTCCTCACCCGGCACGTTGTTGTAGGAGGCCCGCGAGGTCGGCGTCAGCTTCTCCGCCTGGCTCTTCAGGGCGTCCATGATCTTGGGGAGGCAATGCCCTTGGTTGACGGCGCTGTGCGCACTCAGGAAATCAAAGCATTTCCTGCCTTCCACATCCCACAGGGAAATACTTGTCCCTCTCTCCAGGGTGACCGGTAAGGGGTGGTAAAGAGTGTCCCAAAATTCACGCAAGATTTGAATTTTGCGTGAGCATTAACAACAAATAAAAGCCTACTTTTACTTGGTTTATTGAATCAGATTCTAATATCTGTTACCCTGTGATTTCAATCCCTTCAATTTGATAAGCATTACCAAGTACCAATTATGGCCCAGGAGTAGGGACAATGAATATCAATGAAGACCACGGCTTTTGTATGTGCCAGTAAAGCCGTGGAGGCCATTTACCAGATGTGCTATTCCATACATAACCCTATACTATATACTTTATGAATCAATAAAAAATTTACAATTTTTAATTATAAACCTGTGTTTTCTATCAAAATTACTTCTTGCGTGAATTTTGGAACACCCTTTAGTTGTGAGCACCATACTTGGCTTCTCATTCAAAATGGTCATCAGATGATAGAGGGCCTTGGACCGTCTTCTTAGTCGCCACGGATGTAGCAGAAACCACTGGCATGTGGGTGCCCTGGCAAAGCCCCGCCACAGTCTGCAGAAGAGCTAGCTTGGAAAGCATCGTGTCCATGGAGCAGGAATTCCACCGACCAGCTATCCTTTCTTCCCGCAGTTCAGATAGAAATGCAGATTGTTCAGCCTGGATCCAGGGACGATCTGCTGGGTCCAATAATCGCTGGTAGGGCCTCTGGCTCCGGAACCAGCGGCTACGTCTCGGTGGCAGCACATTGTTTGATTCTTGCATGGAGACTGCCTGAGGATGGAACCCACAACCTTGGCTCTATTGCAATGATGCTTTAATCAACTGAGCTCTCTGGCCAGGGAGAAACTTATCAGGGGTTTTTAGTAAAATGAGTCACTGATGTATCTGAGAATAGATAGATACCAGAACCACTGGGATGAAAGATAGTGATGGAAGGCAACGGCGATTCTCAGGTCACACATCCTGGAACCGGAGAGGAGGGAGCCTGATTCTGGGTGTGTTACCTGACAACTGCCCTCTCATAATCCAGGACCCCTCAGCAGATATCAGAGAGCTGGCTTCGCCCGATTCCCTGCAGGCCAGGCCGCAGGACCTCACCTGCCAGAGGAATCCCACTCATTCCACAGACACCCTTGAAGCCAAGGCGCTGCCCCACGTGCGGCCTAATGGGGAGGGACCGGGGGAGGTTGGCACTAGGGTGTGAGGGACCCGTCTCAGCCAGTCCCACCCCACTTGTCATTTTCTAATTAATTTCCTTTCAATGTGCACAAGTCCATAAACCTAGTCACTAGTAAAATATAATGATGTGCTACTGAAATATCTCATGTCCATCTTCAATGCCATCATTTTGGCAGTTTGAATGTGGTGGTGATATTTACACCAGGGAAGTTTTCAACTACTACAAACCTAGACTTCAATGTATCATTAAATGCTTAAACTTAAAGAACACTGGTGGAGAATTAACAATGCAGATTAAATGTATAAGTGTATGGTACAAGTGAGCTATAAATCGCACATAGGGTAAAAATGGAGAAAAACCATTTTGTTTATAAAATTCAAAAACCAAGAATTCCATATGGCCAAAAAATCAGTCGAGTCACTGAGGACTGAGTGAAATTCAAACATATGTCGTAGAGGCTGCACCGCCCTCCTATTGGTTAGAATAGAATAATAAACTAACTTTAAAAGTAAACAAAAAATACTGAGCATTTTAACAAAGAAGATAGACAGTGAAAGAAATACACGGAGAAATGGTCACCATCAAACATTTTTATGGACATGAAGTTAAAGCAAAAGCGAGTTAACAGTACACTCATTGATGGGGCTAGTGCTTAAAAAGATTAACCTTTGCATGTGCTGGCAGAGTTGCATAGAATTTTCTGGGTGGGTGGGAAGGCAAACTGATTGACCATTTTAGGTCACAGTTCCATATATGTTGAAATGTACCACATTCAATGACACTGGAACAATTTGATAAAACATACATCTGTAGAAAGAATGGAATACAATATTCTGAGCTTTTTTATTTATAAAACCCCAAACATAGAAATAACTGAAATCATAGGCAGAATTCACCTTTTAGTGCCAATAAAATTATGAAAAATATGAACTACTCTATTGTAAAGGAAGGTAAATCAATGTCTGCATGGAGGGTTGGGGAAGCAGAAATATTACAAAATGACTGGGGGTAAATACAAAGTGTGGCAAATTCAGGTTTAGAGTAGTTGGTGTTGAAAATAATGCACTAATAAATAACAACACAAATATAAAAACACCTTTAAAAAAAAGATCATAAACCAGAGCAGAGGAGAGCACAGAGTTTGCAGGTTGGTGAATAAGAAAACCTCAAAATTCATCAAAGCATAATGTGAGTACCACTATGTCCCAGAAAGAGATAGCACTTCTTAGCTGAGAACGGGCGCTCAGGATGAATCCTGGTCAGGTCCATTTTCTAGTCATAGAGAAATGAATGAAGATACTGCCAAGAGCTTGGAGGAATCATAATTACCTCAAGCAGAAGTGAGAACACAGAATATATTCCCCTGAGCACCCAGGGAATGTGACCGATGCACACGCCTCAGGTGAGCCAGGTGTTAGAGGTGAAATCTCTTCAGTAATAAACACTCACAGTGACATCATTTGGGTTGTAGGTCTGGACATGTTAGCAAATACAACGCAGCTCCTTCAAGTCTCACTTGTACCTCAAATTTATGACAAATCTAGCAGAGTGTATGTTCTCATTAAAGGGGTTTACATTCATGTAAATGGGTCCCATGGAGGCCCTTAAGTGTTCTTATTTTTAGTGAGAAAAATAAAACATTCCCTGCACACTTACATCTTTTCTCCAGTGTGAAATTTCAGGTGTCTAACCAGGTTGATTGTAGCAAAAAGAAATCCCACACTCACTACACTCACCGTGTGAACTCTCTTCTGTTCACTGGGGATAGAGCTTTCACTAAAGGATTTCCCACATTCACTACACTCATATGGCTTTTCTCCAGTGTGAAATCTTTGGTGTATAGTGAGGGCAGCTTTTTCTCTGAAATGCTTCCCACATTCAGTACACTCATGGATTTTCTCCAGTGTGAACTGTGTGGTGTTTAGTGAGGTGACACCTTTGACTGAAGGACTTGTCACAGTCACTACACTCATATGGCTTTTCTCCAGTGTGAACTCTGTGGTGTTTAGTGAGGGCAGATCTTTGACTGAAGGACTTACCACATTCACTACACTCATATGGCTTTTCTCCAGTGTGAACTCTGTGGTGTTTAGTGAGGTGAGACCTTTCCCTGAAATGCTTCCCACATACGCTACACTCATATGGCTTTTCTCCAGTGTGAACTCTGTAGTGTTTAGTGAGTTCAGCCCTTTTAGTGAAATGCTTCCCACATTCACTACACTCATATGGCTTTTCTCCAGTGTGAACTCTGCGGTGTTTAGTGAGTTCAGCCCTTTTAGTGAAATGGTTACCACATTCACTACACTCATATGGCTTTTCTCCAGTGTGAACTCTGCGGTGTTTAGTGAGTTCAGCCCTTTTAGTGAAATGGTTCCCACATTCACTACACTCATATGGCTTCTCTCCAGTGTGAACTCTTTGGTGTATAGTGAGGGCAACCTTTTTTCTGAAATGCTTCCCACATTCAGTACACTCATATGGATTTTCTTCGGTGTGAACTATGTGGTGTTTAGTGAGGTGACACCTTTGACTGAAGGACTTGCCACAATCACTACACTCATATGGCTTTTCTCCAGTGTGAACTCTGTGGTGTTTAGTGAGGGCAGCCTTTTCTCTGAAATGCTTCCCACATTCGCTACACTCATATGGCTCTTCTCCAGTGTGAACTCTTTGGTGTACAATGAGGCGACACTTTCGACGAAAGGATATCCCACATTCACTGCACTCATAAGGCTTTTCTCCAGTGTGAACTCTCCCATGTGGAGGGTGGTTAAACATTTGTCTACACACTTCCCCACATTTATTATACTCATAAATCATATCTCCAGAGCAAAGACCTTTCTGATAAGCAACTTTCTGTTTCTGGCTGTCAGCTTTTTCACATTCCACCCACTGGTGATGTCTTTTTCCACTTAGAAATTCCTGTGAAATCTCATTGTTATTGTGTGTCTCCATAGTGTTAAGAGTGGCCTGGTGCTGGAGAAGCCCTAAGATGGCTGGGGAGTCTTCCCCAACGTCTGTCCTAGCTGCAGGCATCCCAGATAAGTAGAAGCAGCAACTGGTCACAAGCAAGGTGCTCTCCATATCTTCCTTCCAGGGCTTCTCTCCACTGGCATCCTTCTGTTGCTGGTGAGGGTTTGCACTGAAACACAAGTGTCTCAAACATGCATCACTTAAGAACACATTCTTCTCAAAGTAAACCACTTGTAACTCACTCAGGTGCAAAATATTTTTTAACACTGAGAAGCACGGTTTACACAGATGGGTCCTCTGGGTGGCTGCAGCTGTCCTGGAAGCCCTGAGCTGAGAATCTCCTACAGATACACTGTGCTCAGAATAGGCCTCCACATCATCCATCTTACGCCAAGGACCTGAAAACAGAGGAATGATGAGGAAATGAATGTTGACTCTGGTGACAGGGGGAAGTCCCATTATAAAAGTGGGTTGCACATACTACATTGGTTTATGCAATTGGCTGAAAATAAAAGACCTGAAAGATGGATTAGTAAGAGGTCACTCTGAAGTTCTTGAGCACTGAAGATCACAAAACAAAGGAGATTTCAGCAGAAATAGAGCAAAAACAAGACAAGTACCACATGGAGAAGTGGACTGTCCAGCTCATTCTGCTGCGAACAGCATTCAGTAGATTAGTGATGGTGAAACTATGACACGCTTGTCAGAGTTGAAACACGAACTCGTTTTTCTGGTTGATTTTCTTTGTTAAATGGCATTTAAATACATAAAATAAACATCACAAATATAAATCTTTGTTTTACTATGGTTGCAAATATCAAAAAATTTCTATTTGTGACACGGCACCAGAGTTAAGTTAGGGTTTTTCAAAATGCTGACACGCCGAGCTCAAAAGGTTTGCCATCACTGCAGCAGATCTTCTATGCTGGTGACACGGGCAAGCTGTGCAGAAGTTTGGTTACATCTCATTCCAAGTAAAATCCAATAAACAAGTAGCTGGTATTTTAGGGGTATTTAAGCATGTACGCTGAGTGGCCAGATTATTATGACCACCCCATCAGTACAAAGAAATGAATTAGTTATGCAAAGAATAATAATAATAATGATAATAAAACCTTGAGAGTATTTGCTTAGGAAGTTTTTAATATTGAGTATTTTGGAAGTGTCAATGAAGTGCTGATGGGGTGGTCATTATAATCTGGCCACTCAGTGTATGTGCTCCTTATAACGCTTGCAAAGGTCCATGTTGTAGAATACTGCAGAAAGAGAAGTGCAAAGGAATAGGTGATGTAAAAAGGACACAAAGGCAAAGATATCCAAAGCTAGAAAGTCATTGATGAAATGAGAAGCCAGCAAAGTGTCAAATATGGAAAAGTAAATGTATAAATGAGGGGTGGCCATTGGAACTTGCACCAAACATCATTAGACAGGAGCAGGTTCCTGGTACAATCTGAACACCATCCTTATTTCCTACCTCCCCCGAGCTGCCACTCAGCCAGGCCAGGCTTCCCCTAGGAACATCCTGTACGTTCACCCTGCAGAAACCAAGGGTTCTCTCTGCACCTCCTTCTCTAGAAATATCTACAAACTAAATATCAATGAAAGAAAACAGAGATGAGCAGCCATCACTTGCCCATAGCATTCGGTTTGCAATAGTATTCTCAGAAGGTAATATTACAAACAACAATGGAAGGAGGGTCTTACAATAACAGCCCCTGGTTCATGTATATAAAGAAGATACCTGGCACAGGCATTCACCAAGGTCCTTATCTACAGGAAAGGTGCAGAAGTGGGGGCCATGGATCTGGATACAGTCACCCTTCCTGGGTGAGGAAGAGCAGGAGGGACCCATTAAGCTGTCTGTAAGACTGCTGACACCCAGACACTTCCTGCAGTTCCTAAGGCAACTGGTGTTAGGGAAGTTTGTGGAGTCTATTGCTCAGGGCTCTCTGAGAGCTCAGCACTGGCAGCCACAGCCCATTTCACAAGACAGTGTGGGAAATGAGCAGAGCCCATGGTCTTGCTTTGAGAGAGAGAGTGCTATGTCTGGAGAATAAAGAGTGGGCATCACTTCAGGACACTAGGAGAGATGAAGGTCTTACCTACGAATGATACAAGTGAAAACACTTCCAGCATCACATCACAGTACAGACGTCTCTGAGCCTCATCAAGGATCTCCCACTCCTCCTGAGCGAACGCAATGGCGACGTCCTCAACGTTCATATCCTGTCATAATGAGGACAGTACATCCCATGATAAGATTCTCTCTTGAGATGCCAAGTTTGTGACACTCCCCACCCGGCACATCCATCTGCTTCCTCTACTCCCCACATCAGGGAAGACAGCAGGCCTTAGTCCCATCAAAGTCAATCTCTCCATATATTCCTACTAGAGGCACTTGGGGGGGGGGGGGGGCCTCAGCCCAGCCTATGCCCTCTTGCAGGCTGGTCTGGAGCCAGTGTGTGTCATAGCGTGGTCATGGTTGTGTGCTGTTTGGTTGTTCAGTTGGTTTGCATATTACGCTTTTATTATTATAGATAGGCACTATAATGTGTGTCTCTTTAACAAATATTGGTTTCCTCCATGCTGCACAATTATTTTGAGATTCAACACAAATGTAAATAGTTAATTTTTTATTGCTGAGTATTATTGTAATCTGTGAATTACCACTTTAACTATTGATCCGTCTATGATTTTGGTCATTTCTAAGGTTGGGATATTATAAATAAATCTGCTGGGAATATTTGCGTTCACTTCTCTATATTGATATATGTTTTACTGATCATAATGTTGTTGTGTAGGTGAATGTGTTACATTGTAAGATATGTGGAACTGTGATGTAAAATAGACATCCTCGCCCTAACCGGTTTGGTTCAATGGATAGAGTGTTGGCCTGCAGACTCAAGAGTCCCAGGTTCGATTCTGGTCAAGGGCATGTACCTTGGTTGCAGGCACATACCCTGTAGGAGTGTGCAGGAGGCAGCTGATTGGTGTTCATCTCTCATCGATGTTTCTAACTCTATCCCTCTCCCTTTCTCTCTGTAAAAAATTAATAAAATATATTTTAAATGGTCATCCTCTTTGCCCTCCTACACACCCATAGTAATAAAAATTCCACATTTTCTGCCATCACATCCAATGGTTAATCTTTTTAAATACTAACACCATTAATGAGCATAGTATTAACTCCCTTTCTTTTTAATTCTATTTACTTAAGATTTTTTATGGTGAGAATTTTTTCATACATTTATTTACACTACCTTTGCCACATTTGTTAACGTGTCTGCTCAGAATCTTTCACCAATTTTTTAAATGAATTTATTACCTTGAGAATATTGTGCTAGGAAAAATAAGCCAGTCAGAGAAAGATAAATATAACATGATCTCACTCATGTGTGGAATGTAATGAACAACATAAACTGATGAAGAAAAATAGATCGCGAGACAGAGAAGATGCAAGCAGACCTTCAAACCTAAAAGTGAAGGTAGGAGAGGGTGGCTGGGGTGTGGGAGGGGTAAGAGATCAACCAAAGAAGTTGTATGCATATAAGCATAACCATTGAACACAGACAATAGGGGAGTGAAGGCCTGGGCTGGAGGGTGGGCACGGGTTGGAGAGAAAAAAAGGGGGGATATGCAATGCTTTCAACAATAAAGAATTTTAAAAAAATAAAATGAATTTATGAACTTAAACAATAGGAGGACAGTGTACAAGGTAAGACATGTTTGAAGTTCACTCATTTCTCAGTGACTGCAATGACTTCTTTGCTATATGGAACTAGAGGTTTTAAATATTGGAATGGAAATTTTTTTCTCAATTTTTAACCCATGTAGAATTTAAACGCACTTGTACCATATAGTTACAGATTTAATCTGCATTGTTAACATTCTTCACCAAACTTAATAAGTCTGACCATTCAATAATGCATTCAGTGAAGTCTACATTTGTAATCTTTGTTAATATCCCTGATGTAAATACTCTCATCATGTGGTTCAAACTGACAAAATGATGACACTGAACATGGACATGATGAAATATTTCAGTAGCATATCATTATATTTTATTTCCAACATGCCAAAATGGAAGCACCAAATATGCTCAAGAACTTTCATAATAAAACAGTCAAATTATTGGGATGCATCAAGTTTAAAGCTTTCTTAAAGTTTGATTCAAGTAGAATTGATATAAAATGAACATTTAAAAAACACAACATACCCTTTTGATGTTTTCATACGTGCCTGAAAACAAGTTCCGCCGACCCTTACTAGTGCCTGCAGATAGTGATGTCATAAGGTGAAGCCAGTGGTGGTCAGTGGGGGCCTCCCTGAGACAATCCGGGAAGGGGGGCAGAGTCCAGTTGGAAGGCCGGCTGGGACCACCTCCATTTGGGAGGTGAAGGCAGGTCACTGTAGCTGTTTGGACAACTGAAATTAGAAAGGGGGTGCTGACTGGCTTGTGGGCGCTGTGGCAGGACTTGGCCTTCTCCTCAGGAGGCCTCACAGTTTGCCTCCAGCCCCAGGCTGCCTTCAGGAGGGCTGATGGGCAGCCCCTTCAGAAAAATCATTGCCACAGGGAAATTTGCAGTCCTGAATGCACATAAAGAATCCAGGGACGTAAACATGTTTGCTTATTTATGAGGAAAAGTGCATCTGGAAGGTACATTAATAGTAAACTCTCCACAAGGATGGTTCTTCAGAGAATATGACAAACGGAAATGTACAAGGAGACAGTCATGCTAGTAACCTTTCACAGAAGTTCAAAAACTGGCTGGAGGACACAGTAATAGGGTATGATATGCAATAGAGAAAATACTATGTGAGATCCTGAGGAGCCTTAGACATTTACAACACATGTCTCAAGAAATCATCTTTCGAATCCCAACACCGGCCTCCATGTGGTCTCCAGAGGATTCTCTGCTTTAAGAAAGACTGCAAGTTGGCTGACCCATGCCTCCTGTGTCACTAGCTGTATTTATAGACAATAAAACATGGGTTTCACTAGGGAAAGCAGTTTCTAGTTCACCATGGGCTCTGCTCACTCCAGTGTCTAAAGTTATGTTGGAATCCCTCAGAAACAGCTTCTCGCATGGGAAAGTTCATTTTTATCACTC